TATTATTATCTTTATAATAGACCCTAAAGAGTAGCTTCTTAATATATTTTATATAATAAAGCCTTTAATCTCTAGCCTTAGCTATATAATGCTTTATATATATATTATTATTATAGTCCTCCTATCTAATATTATCTTAATAATATTTATCGTAATAAGCGGGGTCTAATCGGAATATAAGCTAACTTTAATTATATTTATCTATATATAGGATCTATTTATAACTTTCCTATTCGAACTTTATTATTATTTATAGCTTAATCTAGTAATTATATAAGAGAAACTAATATATAGCTTTTTCTTTAAAATAATATTTATAATTATTATAAATATATTTAAGCTAAAGTAATTAATAGTATTATTTATAAATATAATAGAATACTAGATAATCTCCTATTATAAATTATATATTTTCTTTTATATTTTCTTATTTTCGGGCGCTAGCCTTCTATAGCTTAGTCCTATAATAGATAAGTTTATCCTATAATATAAGGGGATTATAATCCTTATTAGGATTATTAATAATATAAATCTATATTAGGATATAGAGTTAAAGCTATCTTAATAGAGGTTCCTTCTCTTAATTTATTTATATATATTTACCCTATTCTTTATTATTTATAAGTCTAATATAGGATATAGCTTATAGTCCTAAGTAAGCCGAGAAGTATCTTTCCTTACTATGAACGTAGATAACGAAATGCGAGACTTGGAGCTATGTTTATTATTATATACTCTACGGGAGATAAATCTCATTATATACCAATAGCCGAATTGAGTATCGGCGATAGGAGTGACTAATAGGAACTAACTCTATATAATATACTCTCTTTTATACTATGAGGAGAAAACGAGCTATACTAAGTCCGCGCCACTATCTAAGCCTAGCTAGTTTAGCCTGAAGCCACCCCCCTACCTATATTACTAAATTGCGATCCGGCTTAGTAGTATTAGTAGGAGCTTTAGAGCTACTTCTTATTCTCTATCCTCGGTTTAGCGGTAAGATATTAAACGAGTTATTTATAATTTAGCTAGGCTCTAGATATTATCGGAGCCTGCGGCCTAGCTCCTCTAAGAATATACTAAGGTGTATTATAACTTTAGGATTATTACCGTTAGGTTAAGATCCCTCTCCTAGCTAGTTAGTCTACTAGTTGCGAAGTAGGCTCTAATACTTAATAATTATTTAAACTCGAGTATTATAGGTCGTAAGTTAGAAAATATAGTTCTCGATATGTAAATATATCTTTTAATAATAGACTTATAGATAATAAAGTCGTCTTCTCGTAGTTAACTAATTTATAGATTATAGATTAAGGACTATTATATAGTATAAATGATTTAATAAGAAGGTTACTATGCCCTAATTAATACTTAGCTTATATTACTCGGTTACTATAGCGGCTTTCTATTATATAGATTCGGTCCTAACTTAGTTTCTCTAGGTAAAGATATAATATATATTTATACTATTAATTAAGCGATTTAGCCTTTCGAGTTTCCTATTAATTTCTATCTTTCGTAAATACTATTATATTCTATAACTTATACTACTAATCGTTAGAATTAAAGTTTATACTTATTCCTTTCGCCTTAAATCCTCTCGCGAAAAATTCGGCTCTAGTAAGAGCTATAACGAAAAAAGTGGCTTTATTAGCTATACTTAAGAATAGAGGGCGCATTTACTATTAACGATATAGTAATAGTTTTAGGATAAATATAGTAGGAAAACGTATATAACCTAGGTTTTACTGCTCGGAACGTTTCGTTTTTAGTATAAACTTCGCTTATTATAATTATATTATTAAGTAGCTCCCGGCTTATTACCCTAGAATTACGCCTCTAGACCTACCTAGCCTAGGAGCGGTCGATAAACGACTAAGATTACTATAATAAAAATAAAGAATCTACGTCTTATAGAGCGGAAAAGGCTCTTAGAGCTAGAAGATATTATTATAAAGATATAGGGAATATATTTACTTTTTACTAAAGCGATAATATCTTATACCTTCTAGGTATTATATACGATTAAATAGGTTATCTAATCTCTATATTATAGCTAATATAAGATAATAGTTTAAGAGCCTTTAGCTATTATCTACTAAATAGATAGAGGCTTTACTTATATATATACTAGATATAGATAATTCTAATTAAGCTTCCCCTTCTCTCTCTCTATATTATTAGCTAGATATTATAATATAAGTATAAGTATAGCTAGGCTAGATCCTTAGATAGGTCGTATTCTATAGATACCTCGTTACGAATTTACTAAGAAGTATTATAATTAATCTAATACTAAAGGCTTCGGGTTATAGTATATAATAATGAATTAGATAAGAAACTAGGTAGCTTAATGCTTAGCTTATTTCAAGCTAGGAATTAGTAGATTAAAGATATTACGATATACTTACTTATAAAATCTAAGCTCCTAGGTCTTAACTTAATAGTACCCCTTAATTAAATCGGAATACCGAAATTAAGGTAAGATATTTAGACCCCCTAAGACTATATAAGCTAAGGCTGCTAATTAGAATATTATATATATAAGCGCTTATAGTAGGGCTTAAAGCGGCGGCTTAAAGAGGGGAAAGATTATATAGGCGCGTACTGTACGGGCTATCTTGGCCTTGTAGTAGAGACTTCTCCGAAACGTAATACTGCCCTTACTAGTTTATCTAGGGGAGAGCGGACGGGATCCCGAGGTTTCTAGTAGGTATGGTCGTATATAGTGGAATCTGGTGATTCTGGCGTTCATATCGGCTTGATCGTGTGTGCTGGGCTGGGGTGCTGAGGGAGGGCGGCTTTGAGTGTCTAGTTTTCCGAAAGCCTGTGGCTTCAACAAGTCGTTATCTCTTGGTACGTCCCTCACGTCCTGCTTCCACTGAAAATGGTCGTACGATAGTTTGGAGAGGCACACTGGGGTGTTTGTGGGCGATTGCTCGGACAAGGCAGCTGCTGCCCTTGTCGTAGGCGGCATCCTAGCGCCTTGATCCCAAGGGACCCAACCACAGACCCATCGACTTGATTAGTAGTCGGGCACGGACAGGAAGCATATGCAGCATCAAAGAAAACGTACGAAAGCATATAGATCTATTCTGAGAATCATAGTGTCTTGGAATTCATGCTAATCACCCTCAGGCAGCATTCATTCTACCCCTCCAATACTGCCTGATACCACTGTCAACATCCCTCAGTGGTGTACCGACGCTCCATTGCCTTGAGTCATCTTCGGCAACGTCCAGCCAAACCGGCATTGCCTCGGCTCGGTTGCCCAACCCAGCAAAGTGCACCAAGAAGTCTCCCCTCCTGGCGTGGTGTTCCTCCAGCAAGTCAAGGTTCGCCTCGTCAAAGTCCTCTTCCGGCCTGGGGTATGCGTTGAACCACCATTGCGGCACCCATGCCACCTGTTTCGCGAACTGGAATTCTTGCATTAGCATGGCCATCGCGCTTTGCTCTGTGAAAGGAAGATCCACGCCAGGCCTGAAGTATCTCAGTGCCAAGATGGCCGCAAACAGGTCAACGCTCCAGCGGCTGACGCGCAAGAGGAAGATGCCGTTATTCAGCCCATTCCAGTCCTTCGTCGCAACAAGGTTGATTCCGGGCCGCTCCACTCCATCCGCCTGTTCGGCGGCTTCACTCGGAGGCCACTTTGCTGCCGGTGGGAGAAAGCTTGAAGGCGATCGGCAGTTGTCGAGGATGATGCTATCCCTGTCTACCCAGAACAGCCATTCAAGGCGTTCGTCCTCAGGCTTCTCCATTTCCGATAAGAGGAGCTCGAGTATAAAAGCCGGCTTGTTCCACAAGTCGTCCACAATCTCGGCACAGAGCACGTGGACTTCAGACTGATGCATAAGGCTATGTCGCAAATGGGTGCGCAAAGCACGCTTGTAATGGTCCTCCGGCTGCCCAAACTGCGCTGTCACCGTCGCAACCCGGAGCTGAGCCCCATAGCGCTTCTCGGGCTGACTCTGACATATCTTGATGTTGGTGTCGAGGTCCGATGCGTTCGTCGATCGGATATCGGGGAAGCAGTCGTTGTCGCCATAACAGTGCAACTTTGCCTTGACGAGGTTTTGACTTCGAAGTGATATCGTAGGCAATGATTCCCGGTACGTCCAAGTCACTTGCAGAAGGACGACCAAAGGAAAAACAATGCTGAACACCAGCACGAAAGTGCGGCGGAAAGCTTGGACGCGCATTCTCAGCTCGCAAAAAAAAAAAAAAAGGTGGCAGGCCCGAGGCATTTCATGGCCGGTCCCCCCCTTCAAGCACCTCGTCGATATATATGTTAGCATTCTGAGATTGGCGCATCTTGACACGGGTCGACGGGATGAGACATGTCGAAGACTCGCATGAGTGGCACAATCCTTCGTGTGTGAGAATGAGGTATGCGGAGGAACAAAACGATTCTAGGTGTAAAAAGTTCGGAGACGGATACTCCATGTTCCTCAATCCGCCAGTGTGAAGCGAGAAAAGCGACATATCAGGTTAGAGCAGGCTGAGAGGCGTCGCTCATGCAGCCAGATTGGGTGTAGCTGAATGTGCAGACACAGGTGGGCGGGCGGGGTTGAGTTCTAGACACAACTAAACAGCCATTTTTGGCCCTCCTTGTCACTGCCAGCGTCAGAACCACAGCGTGTTTCGTACCTCATTCTGGAGTACGTGAAGATGGGGTCTCTGGGAAGGGACCGAAGTCGACTACTGGTAGATGAGTTCAATGATGCTCAGTGTCTCGCAATACTGTTGCCAACCCTCCATTGGAGTAGTTGAAGCCTTCGTGCACCACGCGACGTTATGCATTGCCGATGGCTTCTGGCTGGCGGCCGCTATCTTGAAGCTCGGTTGTACCTGGCCACGTATTGCAAGCGGGCCGCTGGATTTGGACGCGCTGGATTTGGATGCTACATTTATACTCTGAGAAGAGAGGCCGCCTCGGCCGTATGATGCCAAGCTCGGCGTCATGTAGAAAATCATTGCACACGACCCCATTCAACATGACATCTTCACCCCCTTGTTCCTCAGAGCCCGCATCATGGTCCCCCCTCGCGACATCATTGCCCACGAGCTCCTGGCTGAGTGGATGAAGGACAACCAGATTACTGTCACCCATCTGACGCCTGCCTGGCGACGATTGAGAAGTGGGAGGATTTCTTCCGGGACAACCCGGGCCCCAACGCCCAGAGAGCCTTGCTTCGCCTTCTTCTGTCTGGGCCACCCCTGCCCTCCCCGGCGCAAAGTACCCGTGTCCTTCTCAGGGGGTACGCTGCGGTTGCAGTACATGATGAAGGAGACAGAATCGTCTTCGAAGGTCGCCTGCGCCAAGGACAATCGGCAGTGCGTGCTGTCTGCGTTGTCTGAGTCCGATCGCAGTCGCAGCCAGTGTCAGCGCGCGCAAGGCCACTCCACACGACGTCATCGTGCTCAGCCGGGAAATGACGTATTGCTTAATGTAAATACAACTTTGAACGTATAGAGTTCTATAAAAGCGCTATATTATAGTTCCGATAGACTTAACAAATCAGAGTTTAATTAAATGGTCCAATTATATCTAGTGAATTCGGAACCTATCTATAGAGTCTTAGTCTACTTTATACTTTTATACTGCAGTGCTTCATAGCCGTTATTACCTGTACTGTACTATTCGGCTTCCGCTCGAGAGTTTGACTTTCATAACCGCGGCAGTACTCCGTACAATTCAGTTCAGTCTCTATGCTGACTTTGATGTCTCAGGCTCCTCGGCTTGGTTAGGGCCTTAGTTGGTAATACAAGGGGGTTACTGATGTCATATCCAACTGCCGAGCTGGCGTGGCCTCATCAGCATAACCAATTTCACTTCTATTACGACTTAATTCCGTCTCTACAACTAAGTTCCGGATTTTCGAGAGTCCGAGCCGCCTAAGTGACTTCGTTTTCTGTTTAACATTCGAGGACACAGTTCATCATAGACCGTCCCTTATAAAGCAAAAGACATCTATAAATATGGATAGAATGATCTGGAGTTATTTTTTAATTTGCTTTTCCTAAACCACTACAGCTTACTCGAAGACATCATATTCCGTCAGCCACAATGAAGTTCTCAAGAATCGTTACAGGTGCAGCACTTCTAGCCCGCACATTCGCTATTGCCATCCCGCAATCCGATACCGATACAACTGAGCAAACGACAGATGCGGCTCCCGACTTGACGCATTTGGTTATTGGACAAACCATAGGGCCTCTCATTGTCGATGTAAGTAGCGTGTTCGAGCTTTACAGGTAAAATCCTAATTATCTAGGCTATCGGCGAACCGATTGCGAGCGAGGTTAAAATCAACAAAGCTTCTGATGAACTCTCGGGTGAGAAAGTGGTTTTCACCCAACCTACCACCCGCAGAATCTTCAATCTGGTTCTCAAAGATGCATTCGCGAAGTTTGTTCAATGTCCACAGAATATCAAGTGGGGAGTTATGATGATTTGGAATCCTTTCGAGGAGAATGCGGCACACGAAGCTCTTGCTACGACAGTCTTGCAAACCAGCATCAATTTGGTTAAGCACACTGGTACTTTCACCAAAGATAATCTAAATTGGGCGGACATTGGTGGTGGATGGATCAACTTTGCAGCAAACGTCCGGTTACATGCCGATTACTACAACTCATTCAAGGAGTCGACCAGCCACATAAGTGTCTATATGACTATTCAAGGTTGGGTAAACCTTTCTAGTAACAAATTCCTTCTTCAAAAAGTTGTGGCCGGTCCAACAGTTTGGTATAACGGGGTTCGGTACCAGATGACGGATGGCTCTAGCATTATCTCGAGTTGGTCTTTTGATGCAGGCCAGCTTTGATCAGTTGATTTAACTCGCTGTCACGTACTAAGGGGAACAGGGTTGAACAAGTTCTGAGGATCTATGAAACCTTCCATGTAAAGATGGTAGGGGGAATGGGAGGCTTTTATTTCTATGAATTTACGAGTATGAATTCAAATATATTTGTGCGAGAAGTATTCAACATACTTTAGTTATATTACGAATCCTTTTAAAGAAGTCTATTTATGGTCATATTATCGAAGCTACGACTCTATATCTAGAGATAGTAGTACTATAGAGGGTGCCTTAAAGGGAGCGTTAGATAGCTCACTCGATAATATCTTAAGAAAGGAAAGACAATAACTACTAGCTAATAAACAGATCTAGATAAAGGTTTAAAGTAATTCTCTAGAAGTTATAAAATAAGAAGGAAGGAGGGTTAGAGTAGTATGTCTCTATGAGAATGCCTAGGGGTAGTTTCGTTGGCTTGAAGCATGACAATGCGGATGATCGATGCTTGAACCGATTCTTGTTATAAACGCTTATCCGTTCTGCTTCCACGAAATTGATCATATGAGAATTTATGACAGCCACGGCCGATTCACACCTCAGCTTCGACTTACCATGTTGGCGCCAGTCGCGCATGGGTGAACCTTTCATCAACCTCAACCAAGGATGGCAAGCGTTCCTAGTGGCTGTGCTTCCCAGCCGAACCGAAAAGACCTTGCGGTTCATGACGCTACGTCTCGGGAATTTATTTCAGCTTTTTCACTGGATTCCGTGCAGGCAAATGAGTCGACTGACTATGTTGAGACGAGGGAGAAATAGTTCTGGTAAAAGCGAAATAATTCGTGTTATGGCTATAGATGGCTCCTATGATTGGCATCGTTGCGTGGCCGCTCGAAGTAGGGCGTTGTCTACACCGAGTTGTACCATGAAGACAATTGGCCGTCAAATGAAGGCGAGTTGTTCTATGCGTATGCCTCGCCTAATCGTCGAGGGAAAAGGGGCGTGGTGCATGACTAGTTGAACTGAAGGAAATGACGGGGGGTGGGCGCCGGATCATGTATGCCCGCCGAACTCTACAAGCCTGGACCAACCATGGGCCTCTTAATTGACATGCTGTAGAAGATGGGGCACGTACCACAGCCGCGCCAGTGATAACACGAACGAGATAGGCGAACGGAAAGAAGCGCCAGCCAGGCGCGCCCGAAGCCTCCGAGGACCAAGTCTGTCTCTCCCTTGCCCTGCTCTACTCACGACGCCAGCAAAAAAGCAACTGATCCACGAAGCAATCGACAACCTAGAATTAATCCATCAACACCATCGCACACGGCCAGCCGTGCCTACATTCCACCGCCACTTCGGCTCCTCCAAAAAAGCCGTTCCATCGATCGAGTTCGCGCTACGGTACCTGCTACACGATCCTGACCAAGGGCCCGGCCCCCCCTTTCCCGAAACGCCGCCATGACTTTGACCACCATCAGGCCATCGAGGCCTTTGAGCAGCATGGCCTTGCCTTTGATGATACCATACCGCATTCTACAGCTTGCTTCAATCGCTGCATTTCTTCCCATGGCGCTGGGACACGATCATGGCGTCAGCCACATCGCCGAGGGCGAGTCCGTCTCGCCAGAGCCAATTGTAGGGATTCACAGCGTATTGGATACACGGAGACGGCAAGTTGACTGACGGCACAGGACTCGACATTGTGGGTTCACATCTTTACTATGATGCTCGCCTTTGGCATCATCTTCCCCATCGGAATGGTGCTGGGTGTATGTGCTTTCCTTCACCTATCCCATCCTGTAGTTCGCACGCTGATCATGTTCTTTGCAGATCACCAAAAACCGATGGCACGTCCCGACCCAGGTTCTCGGCACCGTAATCGCTGTTGTCGGTTACTTCATTGGCCACGCCCACGGCGGACGCGAATTCATTCACAATAATGTTCACGCCAAATTCGCGAATCTCCTCATGTTCATCCTCGCCGGCCAGGTGACGCTCGGTGTCTACCTTCGACTACATCTCGAAAAGGGAATCCACGGCCGCATCCGTCGCATCGCCCGCCCCTTCCACGGCGTCCTCGGCAAGGCGATGCCTGTAATCTCGTGGGTGCAGATCTTGTTTGGTGGCATCACGGCGCTTGGTTTCTGCCAGGGCGACCATCTCGGACAGTGCGCTGCGCATTTCATCATGGGCTCGGCCTTCATTGCCTACGGCATTCTCTTGACGCTGCTCCTGCTCGTCGGCCAGATGTGGCTGCGCAGGACAGGGCGGTCGCAGGAGTTCTTTGACAGCGTGGTCATCGCCGCCTGGGGCTGCGTCAATACCTTTACCGAGCACCACTGGGGCACCGCCTGGGTCAAGAACGACTGGCAACACACCACCATGGGCATTGTCTGGTGGTGCGCCGGTCTCGCGGGTGTCTGGTTGAGCAAGGATCGCGACGGCAACCCCAAGCGAAACTTCATTCCCGGCTTCGTCATCTTCATCACGGGCTGGGCTATGTCTGCGCATCCTCAGGAGCTCCACGTCTCCGAAGCCACCCACTCAATGTTCGGCAAGACTTTGATGGCTGTTGGCATCACCCGTATCATTGAGATTGCATTTGTGGTGAAGGACGAACATAGTCTTTCCGAGGATGGCCGGACATACAACAGCTGGCAGCTGATTCCCGCATTCGTAAGTAACAACACTCTGCTGGCGATCTGAACAACCGAGCTAATGTGCTGCCAGCTGCTGTTTGCGTCTGGATTCCTGTTCATGGGCGCCACCGAGGAACAGATGCTTCTCGTCGACCAGTCGTCCATGGATCACGTCGCCTACATCCTGATTCTCTTCTCCTTCGCCTTCCTCTTGTTCCTTTTTGTCAACATGCTCATTAGCCTCTACGAGCGTACGTTATCCGCCGAGGGCAAGGTTGTCCTCCCGAACGGCAATACGCACGGGGCTGAGTCGCGCCAGCTGCGGGATGCCGAGGAGTTCGAGCTCGAGGGTCTCATGAGTGACGATGATGAGGAAGATGCCAGGAAAAAGGCGAGGCGGGGTGACGAGGAGAGGGGCATGTCGAGCCCCAGCACAATCGGCAGCACAGTAGGAGGCAACAGCGATCGTGTGGCGAGATAAATGGGGTCTTTGAGGTTCAGTTCGAGTCGTTAGGTTGGTGCATTGGGCGGTGTTTTGCTCTTTTGTGATAATAGTGCTGAGAATCTAGAGTGTCAAGAATGGCATGAGCGTCCGTATCATGCCAATATCTGATGTACCACAAGGTGCAGCAGCAGCAGTATCGCGGTTCACGAGTGACTAGGTAAGCTTACTATCATCGATATGAGCTCATCTTTGCATTACTCCGTCATTCCGGATCTTCTCCGTCAATTACCCAGCGATCCGGAGCGCGATGCTGCGCTGAATGGGGTATGACAAATGGAGATCTGCGACGACGAAGACGGTAATTTGACGACCGGGCCCAAATGGTTGCCTGGCGATGACAAGATGTCACTATGCGAACAACAATGCAGCCTCGATAACAAAACTGCCATTCCCAAGGCCCGCCGTGCCTCGCATGTGTGACACAATTCTTCGTATCGTGCCTCACCACAGACTCCCAAAATCGAGGCAACCACCACAAAGACGAAGCCGCATTCACATCGAGCCAAGTGCCGCACACAGACACACAATGCCAAAGCCTCACATCCTCCTCTTCTCCAAAACCACCGCCTATCGACACACCTCCATCGAGCCGGCTGTCGCGGCCCTCCTCGCCCTGGCATCGACCTCTGGTCTCTTCACGGCCGCGCACTCGGAGGATGCAGAGGCCAGCTTCGCCGGCGACTCCCTGCGCGCCTTCACGGCCGTCATCCTGCTGCACTGCTCGGGTGAGTTCCTAACGGTCAAGCAGCTCGGGGCGCTGCAGGTGTTTGTGCGTCGCGGCGGCGGCGTCGTCGCCGTCCATGGCGCCGCCAGCGGCATGAAGAGCAGTCTATGGTACGGCGAGCTCGTCGGCGCGCACTTTGACATGCACCCTCCTCCGGAGCCTGGAACTGTCGTGGCCGAGGGGCGGCATTACATTCTCGGAAACGCGACGGGCAGGGAGCATTGGATGGATGAGTGGTACAACTTTGTCACGCACCCGCGTGCTCGGCAAGGGCTGCGGGTTCTGCTGAGGGGGGACACGACCAGTTTCCAAGGGGGCAGGATGGGGGACGATCATCCGCTCGCGTGGGTGAGGGAGTTTGAGGGTGGCAGGTCGTTCTACACGGCGCTGGGGCATTTTGACGAGGCGTACAGCGATGAATGGTTCATGGCTTTGTTGACGAGGGGCATACTGTGGGTGTCACGAGCCGAAGAACCATGGAACCCCGAGACTAGGGCGACGGGAACGTAGTTTAAAGCACATGCTTTGATGGGTATCAAGATGAATAGTACAGGCTAGATATACAAGCACGAGACATCCTCACTCCAGTCTGTATCGCACGTCCATCCGCGTATTGAGCACAGCGGACCATATGTCATGTTCGAATCCCGGTACATGGAGCAGGATGCCCAGCTCCTGGCTCGTGTACCAGCTCGCACGATCAAGGTTGCCAGAGCCGAGCATCAGATACTCTCTATCCACCAGTGTCATTTTGAGATGCGACACCACCGGCTCGTCTGGGCTTTTGGTGGCTGGGCGGTAGTAGTAAATTTCAAGACGGCCAGGTCGCTGACGTTGGGCCTCCATATCAAAGGCGCGCGAAGTCCAGGACGCCGTCAAGGCTTCGTAGCGATTGATGAGGGACCGTATGGTCCACTCTGTCGTCGTGCAGGCTGTGACGAGCTGCTCGATCAGCATCATGTTCCGGCTCGTGCGAATGCGGACGTTAACGCCACGAGCAAGTGATGCGAGGAGCGCGTCGACAACGGCGCGGCAGGTGAGGTTTGGCGTGATGATATCAATCTGAGTTTGAGCCGAAGCGAAGAGGTCGAGGAGAGCAGCATTCAGAGGGGTTGCCGGGGAGGTCAGGCGGCCGAGGAAAGGGATGTAACGGAAGCTAGGGTTGACATGATGAGACGATGGGAGGATCATGGTGGGTGTTGGCGTTGGGTCAAGTAGCCGCTTCTGGCAAGCCGAGTCAGGCTCGTTCCGGGTCGGCTCGATCGGCGGTATCGACTGGGCATCACGGGTCCGGCTGTCGTCCCAGTCGGCGACCTGCCGTACATTGCCGTCCCACACACTTGCATAGAACCGCAGCAGCTGCTCGACAGCTGGGCCGGTGAATTCGACGCATCCCTCAAACCACACCTCCCAGCTAATGTTGCAACTCGGCATGAAAGCGCGCTCACGGTCGACGATGACAAACTTGGGGTGCATGACGCTGAACGGTAAGAAGAAGAGGCTCTTAACGGAAAGATCGATGCGGGCCGCCTTCAAAACATCGTCGGGCGGCAGACCCAGCTTGGCCCAGGCAGAGGGACGGTAGGCGTGACCATCGCGAGACCATGGGTGGAATATCTTTTGGAAGAACGAGCGCGAGGAGAAGCCGATGCGAATGCGAAGACGTGGCAAGGCGGAGCTGTCAGCATTGGAGGCGATGGTCTCGCGTCGATGTTTGGCCAGCTCGTGAAGCGTCTCGTGAAGCGCTCGCAGGGTGTCGGATTCGGCCCAGAAACAGGTCACAAGGATAACTTCATGATGAGCTGTAAGGATTGCTGGCAGCAGTGTCTGCTTGTAGATGGACACGCCACTGCCGACAGTGATGGACTGAGGGTTGCTTGTTGTGACGAGCTCCTCAGGGTTCGAAAGGTGGTAGTTGGGGAAATCATGGAGCTGCTCATGTCGGCGCGTCTTGATGCTTCGTGACCAACGATCAACGAATGATGATGGAAACATGGTCGATGGCGTAGTTCTATGGAACGCGTCAGCAACAGCTCATTCCCATGCGGCGCCGGACTGGTTGCAAACAGCCGCGGGCGTGTCCTGTGGTCGTCTCGGTTGTGCCGGGCTGAGTTGAGTTTCAGGGCGAAATGCTCAGCCTCAATGTATGGGTCGTAGGATACGAGGCCGAATGATTGACTTCAGATGCCGAGTATTCGCGAGTGATATCACGAATGCGATGTCGATCTGGGCACATACTCCATTGTCATGAACTGGAATGAAAGCCTCTTCACGTACCATGCATGCCCCTGACAGCCAGCAAGGGTTGAGAAGATGAACCTCGCGATGACGACAATGTTGAGATGCCAAGGTATCACCAGCCACAAAGGCCAGGCCCGAAACGCAGGTCATTAGCCACACTCGCTTCTCGAGGAAATAAATGGCTGGTGTTATTCTCAGAGCAGCTGGCTGGGGTGTACATGTACATCCTAGGTGGGCAGCCAATGGGCCCCCACCTACCAACCAGCCTCAAGTAGCACGACACACCACCACCCTTTCTGGCCTTCTGCCGAACTCCGGGCCGTCGTGCCAGGAAACACCCCTCCTCTGGAATTTGCGTTTTGATCTTTTCGACTTTCGACATGCAAGCAGGGCCAACGCATGAACTCTTGCGGATGATCCGGATCATCAGACTCGGGTGCCGTGGCAAATATTCTGTCGACTTGGAGCCGGCATTCGGATCGCTTCCCTGCTCGCATCACACGGTAGAGACCTGACAAAACACTTGATCAACGGGGCCTTTGCAAGACAGACCTGACACCAGGCGCTGGTAGCCAGCCCCGGGAGTCGCCGTGGCCACTGCGACAATGTCTTGTACCTCTGTTGATCGACGGCCAGATCGGCCATGTGCAACACCGTCTGAACAGAAGACCATCCCGCTGCCCTTCCATTGCTCGTTTGTCGACCTGGTTTGGCAGGCGATCAGCTTGATGGCAGGTGTCCGTCCATCAGTGCCAGGGATGGAGAAAACGTCGGGGTGACCTCCGCGATGGCTTGCATCGGGTCACCAGAGAGGCTGGGTACAGTGATCAAATCTAGTATCATCCTCCGGCTCCCCGCACTCTGCACAGTCCCAAAGTCGTAAAATCGGAGGACCCCGCGATCGCAAAGTCGTGACCAAGCTCTGCGGCTAGAAATGCACCGAAAAGCACACCATGACAGACCAGTTGACACTTTGCTCGCAGACGGCAGTTCCGCCGGCGGCGAAGGAGTGGTCTCGAACTCCTTAGGCTAACCCACCTACTGCGCAACGATCACGTCCCCCCAAACAACGTGGGCCGTGTGTCAGGCGTGAAGCGTGGGAGTGTGGCCTCGGAAAACTGGGCTACCCTCCGTGCGTAAAGATCGACTCTGCATGCCCAGGAAAAGGGGGGACAGGGGACGGATGGCAAATGACAGGACCTCGTTGTGGGAGAGCCCATCGAATGCCGCCACACGTTGGTATTTGGAGCTGACACTGGGCGGCTCGAGACATGCTCAACCGTCTGCCAGAAAAAGAACTGGATACGAGGCTGGGTAAACCCAAAACGGAATCCGAGGATCGATAGGGCGAGAGATGAACAAGGACGATGGCTAAGCAAGTCAGGTGGAACGAGAGACGTGAGAGAAAGAATGGACTGGCGCTTGTTGCGTCGTTTTTGGGTCTTCGCGGGCATCGAATAAAAAATACGGACGTATGACAGACGCGGGTAAAGGTGGTAAAAGCTCAATCACCCGAGTCAGTGCTGAGTGCTGCTGTTTCGGCGTGATCGTCTTTCGACCTCTCGTTCCCCGTTTCCTCGCAGCGCACACAAGAGGAGCAAAGTGGGTACTACGGCCCCAACGATTTTACTTGAGTGACGAGCTAACCATATGCTTGTTGACGCTCGCTGCTGCCGGTACATGCCTAAGGTACCTAGGTACCTACCTACCTACCTCCATGAGGTACCTGCCTTGCTTACCTGCCCAGGCAGGGCACTCAATAGTATCTACTCCTGAAAGCAGTGAAAAGAAGGCTGGCTCTTGCTTCCGCCAGCGTTCGATCCAACTTCCCCAAAAGGCAGGTTCAATGGAAAGTAGACAGGCTTGCAGGAGGAAGGCCCGCGGGCTCACTATACCGTGCAGCCGGACAGACGTGATTAGGGGCGAGTGCGTGAGGCGTTGAGGGGCTGCGGAGGACGAGGGGCAACTGCATGATGCCAGCCAGTGGGCTTGTCCTCTGTGAAGTCGTGGCTGCCCCCCTAATGCAGCCCGATAAGACCCCCAGTGGAGCTCCTTTCTTATCCTGTCCTCAATGAGCACAGGAACACAATGACCGGCAGGGGCAGTGGCAGGACCCGGCCACCCATCGGAGGCACCTTCCATTTTATGGGGAACACTGAGCACTACTGTAACTACCTTACAGTACATGGTACAAGTACAGCACACCCCCTCACCCGAGTTGCTCGTTCTGCCCACGCCCAAGACACCCATGGGCCCAGCCATGGCCTGTTGTCACAGGTCTCTAGACCTTCCCGCCGCCCTGTGAGCCCAGGCAGGCACTAACACGGCGGGACCCAAACAGCCACCTCGTGCGTCTGGCCCCTCCCTTCCGACCCTCCGCACCCACCCTGCCACCCCCTTCAGGTCAGGTACCTTACTTACCTCAGGGCCCCAACCACAAACCTCCGGGACCAGGCTTGGCTTGGTCTGGTCGCGCCGAGCGTGAGGACTGACCCAAAACGCTCTCTCGCCAGGCCATCATGGATAAGGGGGGGGGGGCCTCTTGACGGACTAAAATCCGGGAAAACGACGAATGAAGACGATCCCGACTGGTCGGATGGCTCTTCCTCTGTACTGCGAGCGACTCCTCAGACGCCGACTCGGATGCTTAACGAGCCAGATATTAACTGATAAAGTACCTTCCACCCAACCCCCAGTTCAACCCTTCACATCCTACCCCCTCCCATCCACCCACCATCTATCCCTCGCGCGCTCTTCAACCGGGGTATCGCTCCACCATTCCCCTCGCTCGTCCCCTGTCTTGGCCTGCCACCCGCTGCCCTACTCGTTGAATCGGTCAGGAGTGACCCCCCTGTCTATCGACTCCAACCCCTCCAAACCTTGCCGGACGCCAACTTGCCACTTTGCTCACTCTTTTAGTCCTGAGAGCTCGCCCTTCCTCTTGGCTTTCGAATCTTTTTGTATACCATTTTCTTTTTTTGCCAGCTGGACTGTCCATCGCCAACACACAAGACATACGCGGCAAACTCCCTATTCACGCCTCGATTGACATTGACATATCACGCTGCAACACGAGCGCACCGCCCCCACTCATTCACCATGGGTCTCAGCAGGAAAATCGACCGTGCCTTCCAATGGGCTGGGGAGAAGGTCGGCGGCGAAAAGACCGCTCATTCGGATGAGTTCAAGAACCTCGAGACCGAGATGACCCTGCGCCATGAGGGTAAGCAGCGTGCTTCGGCTCCCAGCTGCCGTAATCAACGCATACTGACCAAACTCGCAGGCATGGAGAAGCTCCAAAAGTCCACCAATGGATACGTCAAGTGGATTTCCCGCCGCGGCGAGGCTCCCGAGGACAAGGAGAAGGCTGTGCCCATTGGTTTCGTCGGACGCATGATGGTTACTCACGGCGAGGACTTTGAGCCAGACTCGGAGTTCGGCAACGGATTGATTGGTACGTTGACTTCTCGTCTGGTTCGTGGACCACTGCTGATATTTCAACAGCTGTTGGTCGTGCCAATGAGCGCATTGCCGAGACCCAGGAAGCCTATGCTGCGGAAGTCAACCAGAACTGGCTCGAGGCCATTGAGCGATCCCTCGCCATGATGAAGGAGTACCAGGTTCGTTCACACCTGTCTCGAGTTCATGGAGCATACCATGGTTAACATGCTTTCTCTCCAGGGCGCCCGCAAGAAGCACGAGTCCCGCCGTTTGGCCTACGATGCCAGTATCAGCAAGATGAACAAGGCCAAGCGTGACGATTACCGCATCGAGGAGGAGATGCGCTCCAACCGTGCCAAATTTGAGGAGAGCGGCGAGGATGTTATGCGCCGTATGCAGGACATCAAGGAAGCTGAGGCTGACAACGTTCGCGACCTCTCCAACTTCCTCGACGCCGAGCTCGAGTACCACGAGCGTTGCGCCGAGGAGCTGCGTCGGGTCAGACAGGCGTGGGCTACCAATGTCAGCCAGACGTCACCAAACCGTCTGGACCGCATCAGCTCAATTGAGCGCCGCCCGACAGGCCGCAGCCGTGCCAACACGGCGCGCTCCTTCAATGACTACGCCCCTCGCAACCAGATTTACGAGGAGCAAGAGCCTGAGCCAGAGGCGCAGCCCGTCCGCATGCCGTTCCGGTCTATGCGCTCCGAGCAGCGTTTCGCATCAACACCAGAGCCTCCCGCGCGCCCCTCATTTGGTCGCTCGCAGACCTTCCAGGGGCCAGCAAGTGAGCGTCGCGCATCCGCGATCCCTAGCATGCCCAGCATCAGCGCGCGCCCGACCACTCGCACCAACACCAACTCGCCCTACGCGCGTGAGGATGTGTTTGCTGATGACTACGACGAGAGCACGGCCAGCGGCAGCGGCAGTCCTGACTGGGGCGCTCGCAGCGCCAGCCCTGCCACGAGCATGGGGAGCCTTACACGAAGCACAAGCAACCTGGGCATCAAGAAGGCACCTCCTCCTCCCCCGCCCTGCCGCAGCAAGAAGCCGGCACCTCCCATCCCTCCTAAGCGCGCCTCTGAGGTGGGCTACTAGAGGGCATCTTCTTGGATACCCAATGTTGATTATTTATGATCCTTTCTTTGGTATGATAGAATGGGCTGGGATTGACCTTGCTCGGGAGCATGGCGTTTGGTGTCGCATGGGCGTCAGTCTTCCAGCTAGCATGTAGTTTTTCAAATATTGGGGCCTCGATCAACGACTGTTACCAATTTACGAACAATTGTTGACTATCGCTGTCTTGGAGCATGCCTCAAACTCTGCTGCACTGATCGTTGAACTACAGGCTGTTGATGAATGCGCCCCCAATTTTCTCTACGAAGAGTCCGCGTACATTGCGTCAACAACGGAGTAAAAATCAAACAAATGGTTCAGTTCGATGGAACAGCCTGTGTGCTCATCACGACGAAAGACGCGGTGGTGCAAGTGAAGCTTCGACAGTCATCTACCTACTGCACGTGATTGGACCCCACAGCTTATCGTCGGCTTATCTGAGAGCGAGTCAAGGGTTGGCAAAGGTGGAAGCTCCAACGTCGTCTTCAGTATCCAACCTCTGGTTAGCAACTAATACAGAACACTCTTTCTAGACCTGCTTTTCTATGATTCCCACTGTTTGAAGTTCACATTCACTGCCCGCCATCCAGCCATAATGGCGACAGAAGATGCGCGCTACCGGCTCTCCAGCCAGTTTCGCCTCTGGTCTTATCCATCACCCAAACTGGCCGACCTTCGCGAGAAGACAAACGCGCTCGCCGCGCAGCAGATCAGCACACGCCTGCGCGAAACGAAGCCCGAAGACCCGCTGCCCGAATTCCTGACTGCCGCCGAAGAAACTGTACTGCTCAAGTTCTTTACGGTCGAATTGATCCGCGCGGCCATCTTTTGCGACCTGCCGACCGAGATACGCGCCACCGCTGCCGTGTTCCTGAGGAGGTTCTACATAACGAATTCCGTCATGACGTATCCGCCGACGGATTTGTTGAAGACGTGTTTGTTCTTTGGGGGCAAGGCTGAGGGGTACTTTGCAAAGCTGTCAAAGTGAGTCTTGTCTTGTACCTCGGATACACCCAGCAACGGTCCTGCTTCGAGGTTGCTGACGGGACCAGGCTGGCAGACAAGTTCCCCAACACGACCGAGGAGGAGATTCTCGCCGGCGAGTTCCTCCTGTGTCAGGGCATTCGGTTCGCCTTTGACGTGCGACACCCTTTCCGCGGGCTCGAGGGCACGATTCTTGAATTGAGGCGGCACAGCGACATCAAGGTAAGGAGGGGGAAGTCCCGAGGTAGTCATGTCTTGCTGACCGCTGGTAGACCTCTCGAATCGATGCTGCCCATCAGAGAGCACGCGAGATCCTCAAGTTTAGTTCTCTTGTCACCGACGCCTACTTCCACTACACACCCAGTCAAATCATGCTGGCAGCTCTCTCTCTCGCCGACGAAGGGCTGTGCGATACGATTCTCGATGACACATTTGCAAAAGCGTCTGGCGATGCCTTGGAAGTTAAGGCCAAGCTCACGGCAGCGGTCCGTGCCTGCAAGGAACTGCTGTCCACAGAGCTGCCCGAAAGAATGCAGGACTACTGGGGAACGGTGAGGCCCCCTCGCGCCACAAGACGTGTGATGGTCCGCAGTTCGCTAACAGTATCAAGCCCGAGAGCATGAAATTGATACGACCGCTGGTTAAGAAACTCAAGAAGTGCAGGGACCCCGATCGCGCGGATCTCGTCGCCCTGCAGAAGGCGAGGCGGGAGGCAGCCGCCTCGGCGACGGCAAAGGAGAAGGAGGTGCGCAAGGGAAGCAAGCCTGGGCTGGATGGGGGCGCACTTGGCATGCCCCTTGGAGGACTTGACAGGGACACGAAACGGAGGAAAGTGACCGGGGACGATGTCTTCGGGGGCGCTCTGTGAAATAGGGAGGCTCTCTGTGAGCACAGGGAGAGCAAGAGGGGGGGACTAGTTGCTCGAGTCGTTGCGTCGTAAGCACTAGGAAGTGGCTGGGCAGGTGGTGAGGGAAAGGCGGGTTGTTCTTTGGCAGTCCACAGGCGTTGTCCGTGAGGGCGGAGGGGATTCGAGGGTGGACATTCAGTTCTCGACAGCTAATTCTGATACCCCTTATTTTTCTGGACTTTAGGGTAGGCATTGAGTTTGATGGACTGGATGATAGAGCAACTCGATCCGGCTTAAGGATTGTATATGTGGACGTTTGCTCCATCCAGACTTGCTAAACGCCCCGTGGCGAGAACTAAGACAATTGGAAGGCTGGGATGCCTTGCTCGGTCCGTCTACTCGGTCCTCGCGCGACGCAAACGAAGACGACATCACGGATGAGGACGAATCCCTATGTACAATGTGCCCCGGGTCGCTGTTGGTCATCGGACCAACCGAATGTCGCGACTAACAAAATCCCCGACTCTCACAAGCGGCTCGGCGCGGCACCTTAGTGGATGGGATGATGCTTCGGCCAGTAAACGCGATGAACCTCTACGACGAACGCAATCCTGGGTTCGATGACGCGTATGAGGGTGTCGACATTGCTATTTCTTCTTCCTATTCCACCCTGCCAAGCCTCGCGAGATGTTTCAGGACCTCCAAGGACTTCGAAGGCATCTTGGCAGAACCGCGCTGGGTGGCAATAACGACCGCTTACAGGTGATTTCGATGGCGAATTCCAAGAGATAGGCGGCGTAGCATCTCGCTGGTGCTGCACTAGAAAGATGAGCTTGTGCCTCGCCTTAAGCTCAAGCATGGCGCCGAGGCCAAACGACGGGGATACAACTTACTTTCCTTGGACGGCTTGAACGGACCTGACCACGCCAATGGCAGCATGCCATGCAAGCTAGGGTTGGCTTGGCTGAGCTGTGTGTTTCTCGAGCCGTCGCAAGCTGTCTGGGCTACGGCCAATCCAGATGAGGCGGTCATGCGGGGAAGTGCGAGTGGGTTGGGCCATTTGGATCGCGAGCTGCTCTGGCGTGGTTGTGCGAGTTGCGCTAAGGCCTGACTGACGACATTGACTTCGACTTGCACCATCAGCCGTGCAATCAGCCGGTCGAGAACGCGCAGCTCGGGACCGGGGCAACGAGCAATGGAAACCAGGTTTTTCCCGATGGCGCCCAGCCAGATCACAGGAGGACCAGTTTGAGCATTCTTGGAGGATTCATGAGGTCAATTGAGGTCGGCAAGCTTCGCCATGCCGCTTGACATGTCGTTTTGATATTCAATCAAACATTCCTATTGCCCCACTGATCCCGGAGCTCAGGCCGGAAAAGCCCCATGTTCGGCCCCGCCGTTTTCGGATGGTGGAGCTCAAGCTGCAGTGCAAGCTCAAGCACATCACGGCACTGCGAAGCACTGCACCTGGGCGGTCTTGCATCACCAAGCTACGGCCAAGCTGCTGGCGAGCTCGTTCCCCGCCCGATCACTGGCTTCAACCCTTGTCGACTTTAGTCAAAGATCGGCTTGGCGCAGCGGATGAGCGGCCGGCGCACCCAATCGACTACGACCTGTTGCCCGAACTGGCTACGCCGTCCTCCTCGCCATGCCATGACGACCGCGGGTTGTCGTGTCCTGTCGCAGCTAGCAAGACAGGATTCCTGCTTTGTTCTCGGGAACTCGATGGCGTGGCAAGACGCCTAGGCGAACCTTTTGTGTCCAAGCATTTTCCCTCGTGCTAGACGTATGCCTCCCTTAGACCACACCGAGCTGAGGATGCTCTGGCTTGTCTGGCGAGCTCAGCCGAAGCTTTTATAGCTGGACCACCCCCGTTGCATGTGTAGCGCCCCAGAGTTCCCATCTTACTGCCAGCTATCCAATTTGCCCATCACACATTCGCTCAATAGAAGCCATCATGCTGTACAAGAGCGTTCTCCCCTTGGCACTCGCCACCGGCGTCTTTGCACAGAGCGATACGCCTAGCCTGACGGAGGCTTTGGCGTCCCAGAATGACACCCTGTCATCCCTGACCAGTATGACTGCCTCATGTTCCTCCATCCTTGAACCAAAGGGCTAACAAGACTCAGCACTCATTGGTACCCTGCCTGACGAGGTTGTGCAGTCTCTCGGCGAGGCCCAGAACATTACCATCCTGGCACCCAGCAACGATGCGCTTGAAGCCTTCCTCAACAACACAGCTGCTTCCGCAGCCATTGCTGCCGATCCAGGCCTTATCCTCGCTGTTCTGCAGTACCACATTCTCAATGGAACTTACTACGCCTCCAACATTACTGGCGCCGACGGTCCTCTATTCGTCCCAACTCTGCTGACCAACGAGACGTATGCCAATGTCACTGGCGGCCAGCGCGTCGAGGTCATCCCACCTGAGGGTGATGACAGCGATGTCACCTTCTACTCGGGTCTCAAGGAGAACTCGACAGTCCAGCAGGCTGACCTCAACTTCACCGGTGGCACCATCCACATCATTGACCGTGTGCTCACTCTGCCCCTCAACATTAGCGACACCCTGCGCGCCGCCAACCTCACAGCTACTCTCGGTGCTGTTCAGCGTGCTGATGTCGGCGAGGCCCTTGGCGAGGCTCGCGACCTGACCGTCTTTGCTCCCGACAACTCGGCCTTCGCTGCCATTGCCAACCTAGTCGGCGGCGACAATGGACTGAACCAGTCCGCTCTCGCTAGCATTCTAGAGTACCACGTCGTCGCAGGCCAGGTCCTCTACAGTGACCTCATTGAGAACACCACCCTCGAGACCCTCGGTGGGGGCGAGCTTACGGTCTCCGTCGTCAACGGAAGCGTATTTGTCAACTCTGCCGAGGTCGTCGTCCAGGACGTGCTCATCAGCAACGGTGTCGTCCACGTTATCAATAAGTGAGTTTACCATGCTCTTGCTCTCTTCGAGCGCCCCCTGTTATCGCGGGCCCTCTCTAACCAGGTTCTCAGCGTCCTCAACCCGGACAACACCACCGCCACGCCCGACCCTTCGGCCTCGACCCCTGTTCCCGCCTTCACCGGCGCCAGCACGGTCTCGGGCGGCGCCAACCCCTTGACGTCGGGCGTCGAGGGCCCCACGTCCACCGCGCCCATCGCCACCGGCGCCAACCCTGGCGCCGAGGGCGGCGGCGGTACCAGCACCAGCACCGAGGGCGCGCCCATGCGCACTGCTGCCGTGGGTGTTGCTGCGCTATTCGGCGCTGGTGTTGTTGCCTTCAACAACATGTAACCGCGGCTGTCTACTGTGCCGCCGATCCGTTCCTTATCGTGCGCTTAGTCTTGGTGTGGGTGGTAATATCGGGGGTTTGTAATCAAGGTGGTCTGTAGCGGCGGCGACTGACGTCCAACGACGAGACGTGATACACGAGATGATAATTGAAGTTTTGTTTGTGCTTTGAACACACGCGATAATGGATGTATGCAACTTGACGAACGGGGAGCTCGAGGATTCCCGATGATCCCAGATTGGCGCTGGGTTCATCCAGCCGACCTTGGGAGTAGGTTGATCCGGGCTCATGACAGTCGAGACACTCCAGGCAGGCTGCAAGCTGGGATAAAGCCACTGCTGTCAGCATGTAGAAGGCAGAGGAGAGTGAATGCTCGAGCGTCGAGCTAACTGGTCTAGTGTTTGTCTCAGTTGGGGGCCATCCTTGTCGGCAATCGTCGATGGCGGGTCCCCAGGAGGATGGGCTTTCGCCTCGTCGGCTCAGGTAAGCAGACCATGGGTCTCGTCAACGGGGAATCAGATGGCGCCATGTTCAATGCGCCAAGTCTGAGATACGGTCGTCTGGAGGACAGAAAGAGAAAAGAGACAAGATTGTTGGGGCACATCTGCTCCATGATCAGGCCACCGAAAAGAAATGCCTACCTAAAGCACCTGTACCTTAGGACCTACGTAGGTACCTAAGCTGGGGGGTAGGCAAGCTTGGCAAGGGAGGCAGGCAGCCAGTGCCGTAGGACCCTTCTTGGCTTACTAAGTGGGTGTCTGAACCCCGCCCGAACCTGCACGTTGGGTCACATACCTAGGTAGGTATGTACATGTAGATAGGTACCTTGGAAGAAACCCCACCCACCCCAATCAGGACGATTCGATCCTTTGTATCTTTAGCTCTCGCTTCGTCGGCCACAGTCTCCTTCATCAACCTCGTCGGAACCCTTTTCACCATCTGCCATCCCAGTTCGTGTCGTTGTCAGCCATCAACACGGCTAGTTGCAGTGCGATCTGGGCTTGACCGCATCAATGTATCCTTGCTCGACGTTTCCAGTCTTGTCCGCCACGTACATCGACAGCAGTGACCATGTCTGAGTCGCGTCCTCGGCGTTTGCTGCGGGTCTCGAAAGCATGTGAGTGACTGACTGGACACTCCCTTCATGCCCCTCATGGTCACAGTGTCGTGACATGTCGCCGTCGGCAGTCGTATCGCGTTGATAGACGCGTCGACGATGACCTGGCTAACATACCCACCATAGGCGATTACTGCCATCATCGCAGGATCAAGTGTCGCGCCAGCCAAAGCGACCCTCATCGCTGTCAGAACTGCGCCGACTTTGATATCGAGTGTGAATCTTCGCGTCCGCTGAAGAGGGGCAAAGCAGCCGCTGCCAATCGAGCTGGCTGCCTCGCCCACGCCGCAACGCCCTCGCCGGCCGACTCGACGACAGAGCCTGTGTTGCAGCCTGGCCGCTATGGCACCTTGAATGGCCACCCGAATGGCCACCCGAATGGCCACCTGAATGGAGGAGCTGTGCGGCCGCTCCCGCTTCCACCCGTGTCCGCTTCATTGCTGAACGGCGCTGTGTCTCGCGACAGGAAGGACGCTTCGCTGAGTCCTGCCTGGAAAGCGTTCGCTCACGCATCGTCGCCTCTCGTACGGAAATTGCTGGCCGTCTACTTTGAGACGGTGTATCCCATGTGAGTTGCCACTCACCTCGTCCAACCGTCCAACTCGAGGTTGGACTTTACCCTG